GAACGGAGCTGGGTGTGGAGGCAATGAGGGCCAAGAGCTTGTCCTGGGGGGGTTCCAGGGGCAGCCGGGAGAGCTCACCACGCACACAGAGAAAGCGGGTTTCTCCTCTGCCCCGCTGCTGTGATAGGTCAAGATGCCAGTTTACCCTGATTATGGATGGTGTGAGTCTCTCTGGCCCCAGAGCCTTGCCCTTGATTCCTGTGGTCCGGGTTGCAGCCGCTCAGCTCTATTTGGTTTTGCTAGGGCCCCTCGCTCATCCTGCACCCGTCTGCTCGCCTTCGGAGGTCAGTGTTGTTAAGAAACAGACTTTCAGCTGAGCGGTGGTGGTGCAGCTTTTAATCCCAGCGCCCAGAGACAGGTGGATCTTTGTGAGGTAGAGGCCAGCCTGATCTACAGAGTGAGTTCCAGGACAGCCAGGGCTGTTACACAAAGAAACCTGTTTCGAGAAATAGACAGACAGACAGACAGAAGAAACAGGCTTTCAGGGCAACCACCTCAGGGACCCTGCGGATTACAACTCTCTTAAAGCCAGCACAGATAGACTATGTTAGGCCTGTGCCTGTGTTTTACTGGAAACTCTGCCAGGTGCTGTGCTGTGCACTGAGGACTAGTAATGACTTCACTGTACAGAAAAGGGGATGTAACATTGGGGCTGCCTACCGGATGTAGCACAAAAACCGCTGTTGCCTTCCCCTTCCACACAGGTCAGCAGACAGTAGGTATTCAATAAATGCCTAAGGCATACTGGTCTAGTAGAATAGCCCTGCACGGGGAACTCAGCTGCCACCGCCAAGATGCCCTCTATAGTCAATGACCACAACAGAGGTAGGCACTATTGAGTGCCTACTGTGCGCCAGGAAGCTGGCACCTTTTGTGGTAAGACTGTAACCCTGCTTTACAAAAGGGAAAGACGACAGGAACAAAATGCTACACCCAGCATCCTAGCCACTAAGGATGCTACACCCAGCATCCTAGCCACTAAGGATGCTACACTCAGCATCCTAGCCACTAAAGATGCTACACCCAGCATCCTAGCCACTAAGGGTACTTGTCTTGGAACCCACTAAGTCCACCCCAGGGACTTAGTCCAAACCAGGTCCTCGGATCCTTCAACTTGGACACCTCTCCAGGGAAAGTTCCTCGAGTCTGTCTGAATTCCTCCATTGACTACACAGTCACTTGTCATTTTAATCCCCCACCCTCCACCCCCATGCTCATGTGTGTCTTGGGGCGGGGGTGGGGATGGGGGCTCAGCAACGATGGCAGCCAGGAGGAGCGATTACTCTGCAGACACAGCAAGAGCCCCAGGTCCAGGGCTTGCTCCATGGCCCTACGCAGTTCCGCATGCGGCCACGGAGTGGCGCGCGGTTCTGTCAACCCGACCTTGCAATGCGGCGACGTGTCACCAGATGGTGCCCGAGGCCGCGGCTCTGCGGGCAGGGCCTGAACAAGGAGGAGCCCAGTCGGCCCACTAGTCCCAGTCCGGTACTCGCTACTCCAGCGCACGTGACCACGGCCGCCGCCTGCTACCCGCTCCATGGCCCAGCCACTGCCTCGGCTGTCTGTTCCCGCCGCGCTGGCCCTGGGCTCGGCCGCGCTGGGCGCCGCCTTCGCCACCGGTCTCTTGCTGGGTGAGCTGCTGCAGTCCCGAGACCGGGAGGGCGCGGAGCAGAGCCCGAGAAACCGGTCAGAACCCCAGGCCCTGATCCAGTGCCCTTTCCCCGGCAGGGAGATGGTGGCCTCCGTGGCGGTCCAGGCGACCACAGCGCCTGCTGCCCCCCGAGGACAGTCCCCTGTGGCAGTATCTGCTGAGCCGCTCCATGCGGGAGCACCCGGCGCTGCGGAGCCTGCGACTGGTTAGTAGGACTTGGGGACCCGAACAGGCTCCTCTCGTCCCAGCGTGGTGGATCTCACGTGGCTGTGTGACCTTGGGCTGGGCAGAAGCCCACTCTGGGCTTCCGGGTTCTCTGCGATCTGTCCCCTCTTGGCCACGTCTGCCACCCCCCTGCAGGATTCAAAACCTGTGCGGGGGCCGGTGATTGGCAGGAACGGTACCCCCTTCTCCCCACATACAGCTGACCCTGGAGCAGCCGCAAGGGGATTCCATGATGACCTGTGAGCAGGCCCAGCTTCTGGCCAACCTGGCGCGGCTCATCAAGGCCAAGAAAGCTCTGGACCTGGGTAGGCGCGCGCAGTCGGGGTCGCTGGGAACCCGGGTCCCCGGGCCGTCTCACAGCCTGGATTGAGCCCGGGACGTCCCGGTCCACAGGTACTTTCACAGGCTACTCCGCCCTGGCGCTGGCCCTGGCGCTTCCCGAAGCTGGCCGCGTGGTGACGTGCGAGGTGGACGCGGAGCCCCCGGAGCTGGGGCGGCCCCTGTGGAAGCAGGTGAGAACCCACGCCTGCGGCGGCGCCTCGGGCTCGGGGGCGTGCCGGCCTGACCCGCCTTCTTCCACAGGCCGAAGTGGAGCACAAGATCGACCTTCGGCTGCAGCCCGCCCTGCAGACTTTGGGTGAGCACCGGCGGGAGGGGCCCTGCCTGCACTACCCAACCTAGGGAGCCAAGCTGGCGAGCCCGAACCTTGGGCAGGGGCTTCCGGCCACCGGGACCGCAGCTCAGCTGCACCTGCCCTCTGTCCCTGCAAGATGAGCTCCTGGCGGCGGGCGAGGCCGGAACCTTCGACGTAGCCGTGGTGGACGCGGACAAGGAGAACTGCACGGCCTACTACGAGCGCTGTCTACAGCTGCTGCGCCCCGGAGGCGTGCTCGCCGTGCTCAGAGTAAGGACTAGACGGCTCCCCAGCCGGGGCCTGCCCCTTGTCTCGGCCCCTCCCACCCAAAACCCCGCCCAGAGCACCGTAGACCCCGCCCCCACCCCGATGTCCCCGCCCCTCCCTCCACAGGTGCTGTGGCGTGGAGAGGTGCTACAGCCTAGACCCAAGGACAAGGCTGCTGAGTGCGTGCGCAACCTGAATGAGCGCATCCTGCGGGACGCCAGGGTCTACGTCAGCCTCCTGCCCCTGGGTGACGGGCTCTCCTTGGCCTTCAAGATCTAAGAACCCCAGTGACCTTAAATTTTAAACGACAATGAAAGGACTAGGACACGAACTTCTGAGCATCGGTATCTGGCGTTCATTGGGTGGTGTTCCCTACAGGAATACAGGCAACTTTTCCAATAAAGCAGTCTCCCTGGCACCAAGACTTGTGGTCCTGTCTGACAGGATAGTTTTAATAAACTGTGGAGTCCCAACAGGCTCTGGCGGCTAGATGTATGTACAGGAGGGCCGTATCTGTCTCCTGCCTCCCCGCCACAGGCTGAAGCTCCTGGAGAGATCACACCTAGGGTCTGACAACATAGGAGCCCTGCAAGAGAGCAACCTAGTCATGGATATTTTTGTGGCAAAGACAGGTCGGCTGGCAATCTACCCTTATTTCCACAGGGCTGTTGCCTCCCCAACCTCACCTGTGCAACGGGAGTCTCATCACTGCCATCAACAGGACCAACCTTCTTAGCCTACACCTGAGGACCTAAGGTTGGCTCCAATTTCTACCTGCTGCCCGACCCAAGTCCTGAGGGAGGGAACTGGTGTCCCAGGTGGAAAGCTGACACCAGCAGGCCTCATTAAAGAACGTGAGGGTTTGGCAGCATTGTCCTTTGGGGGACAGTGGCAGGAGCCAACCTTACCCACCCGGTTTGCGCCTCACCTTTCTCCAGCTGCCCTGGGATGAGGGTGAAGTTCTTGCACACACACAGCCTCAATAACTTGGGCACAAAGGGCACTTTCTGGGACACCACAGGTTTGCCACCCATGGATTTAGGCCCTGGTGAGGCACAGCTAGAGGCTGCTCCGAATGAGCCTGCCCAAGCCCCTCCGCCCTGCAGTGGACCATGTCTCCACAACCCTTGGGGAGTTGAGCCCTACCCCTTCCTCCCCAAGTCACAAGTACATATCCAGGTGCACAAAGGAGACCTGGTCCAATCTAAGTTTAGTCTTCTGTACCCTGGTGACCCTCATGTGTACACACTGGCCCACAGCGTTGGCAGGTGAACTCCCTACATGGTCAGTCAACCAGGGGGCTTCTGTTGGCAAGCACGGTGTTCGTGTTAGCTTGGACACCTTTCACAGTTCCTTCTTACCAAGCAACGGATCCAGACTCTAATTTCAACACTGTCACCTTCCACATGGATAGTGATTGGGAACAGAATCTTGCAGAGCATCGGTCTTCTGATTCACATAGTCCCCCATTGCCAATCCCTTAGGGCAAACAGTGGGGCCAGGAGACATCTTTGTGCCCTCAGCCCCCACAGGATAAAGACGTGTCATCTAATTCCCAACCTAGACTAGGTTCTTCACATGAACCATTTTTACAGGGAAGTCCCAAGTACCCCTCCACTGTCCTAGCTGTCCTCCAAAGCTTCCAACTGAACAGCAGTCTCTTCCTCCCAAGTGTCAACACCTGCCTCCCTTTCTCTCATCTGGGATTCTCGATGTCCCTCCCACGCCTCCTCCACACGGGAAGCCTGTGCTGCTTTTCCAACCAGAATCCCTGGGGAATGCAGACGGCCCAGGTGATGGCTAAGGGATTGCCCCATGTCTCAGACCTCAGCTCAGCTTTCCAGTGTCTGGAAAGAACAGTGACTTGCTGCTGGTGCCCACTTACTCGTCCCCCACCCGTGTGACCCCACTTTCTGTAGCTGTGGTCACAGGGGTGTGGCAGGGTGTAGCATGCCTGTTTAACCATTCAGCACTACTGCTGCATCATCCGTGGCATTAACAGTGATTCACTGTAATTTTGCAAAAACTTAGAAACTGAAGAGTGTTAAAGTATGTATCCTCTGACTTTATTATAGTCTCAGAGACCTCGTGGAATTACGCTAAGGACACAGGAATTTGGTTGCACAGATTTAGGTAAAGAGCAAATGCTCACAAGAAGAAAGTATTTACCAAGGTTAGAACCTGGCTGGCCAATCTGTAACTGCACATACGTGGAGTCATTAGTTATGTACACTTGTTTTATTCATAATTTGTCATGTTTGGGATTACCAAAGTAATTCTAATGATGGCTGAATATAACAAAAAAAATCTTTTACCTCATCGTAAGACATCCACTGATCCATCTCATTCAGTACAATAGTCAATGTTAAAAGGAACATAAAACAAACATGCACACCATGGCACGGTTTTCATAAACGTCTATTTCATCATTGGTGGGTAGCACATTTAACAGTTAAATGCATTTAAATAATGTATGGGTGGCTGCACGACCGCAGCACTGATAACTGGAAACCAGCCAACAGGAAACTGTCTAAATATTTAAAATACAGCTCTTCGTTAATCACCCTTTGATTTCATCACCTTCTGGGGGGAAGGGGAGCCTGCTGGTCACACGGAAACATTAAGGCCAAATCTGATATCCATTCCCAGAGGTTTCTTTCAACTGGATTAAGCCTCTAGTTCCAAGGCAAGCCCAAGTTTGTGGCCTCCAGCATTAAAACTCTTCCCATCCACCAGAGCAGACAAGGTAAGCTTCACACCTGTAAACAAAGCAAAGCACCATGGTGAGCCTGCCTCAGCCACCACCACACTAACTAATCCCAGCCAGCAGAGGGCACTGGAAGAACCGAATACTAGGAATAATGGAAAAATGTTCATTTTAAGCATAAAAGGTTAGTAACAAATTCAAAGCATTCTAAGCTGTAATCATGGTCAGTATACTACCCAGACTAGACACCACTGAAAAGGCTAGACTGTACCTGAACCCTGTTAGGTCTCTGGGGACCAGTAGGAAGTGCACATTAGGTAAGTAAATAATGCTAATTAGGGGGTGTTCGGCATGTCAGCAGTAACAGGCTCTTTAGTGCTCACTTTTAAGTTTTAGGCATGGGAAGTGGGGTCCCCATTAGGAAAGCGGGACCACCAGGGCTTGAGGACCTTGTCTGTCAACGGCTCTAAGTGCACCAGAACCCAGTAGAAACAGAGCTCTCCACCTGGGACCTACCAGTGACAACCCACACCTGCGCTGGCTTGACTCAAGCGGCTCTGCAACCTCCTACCTGAAGGAGACAGACTGCAGAGGACCAGCTAAAGCACCGAGTGAACTCTGGTCCAAGATAGCACTTAGCTACAGTGGGTTAGACGGTAAGGAGGGGGGCTCTTTAGAGTGAGCAGGGTGAGGAGGAGGAGGAGGTCCTGATAAGCTGTAACTTCCCAGGACTAACAACACCACTACAGCCTTGAAAGGCTCACAAAATAAACTAAAAAAAAAAATAATAATTCTGAAAATACTGGAAAAAAAAATGGAGTTGCAGCTGGGCAGTGGTGGTGCACACATTTAATCCCAGCACTTGGGAGGCAGAGGCAGGCGGATCTCTTGTGAGTTCAAGGCCAGCCTGATCTGCAGAGTGAGTGTCAGACAGGCTCCAAAGCTAGAGATAACCTGTCTTGGGGGGAAAAGAGAAAGGGGGGGGGGGACTGGAGAGATGGCTCTGCAGTTCTAGAGGCCCTGGGTTCAATTCCTAGCACCCACATGGTAGCTGTAGTCCCATGGGATCCAATGCCCTCTTCCAGTGTGCAGATATACAAGTAGATAAAACACCCATACACTTAAATGAATCTTTTCTAAAAGGGGAAGGGGTTATAAAAACAATCCCACTTATCAACAATACTTACCAGGCCTCAAAGTCTGAGTATAGCCCACTCCAATTAAACTAGAGTTGTTGACCTTTGCCTAGAAAGAGAGAAAAACATTTCTGAAGGGAGACAAAGCTCTTGGATGTTCCCCATCATGGAACTAGAGATACAGAGCCCAGGGCTTTATTTAACTCAACTGGATACTAAAATTTACTATCGTTATTAAGCAAACATCAAGTGTCACTTAAAAATTAGATGTTACACTCAGGAGGCAGAGGCAGGCAGATCTCTGTGAGTTCGAGACCAGCTTGGTCTACCGAGCGAGTTCCAGGACAGAGTCCAAAACAATACAGAGAAACCCTGTCTCAAAAAACCAAAAAAAAAAAAAAAAAAGATGTTAACTCAAAAATCAAATTTTATGTAGTGCATTTTGTACACCCGTATTATCCACACAGCATAAAAACCACTCAAAGTCACCTTTGTTGAGTCTAATCTAAGCACAAAGGCCAATATGTGGCTGATGACACCTACCAGACCACTAGAGGTAAGGGCCATCCTTGAAATGTGAGGTGTTTATAAGCTCATGGCTTAGACACATCACTACTTCCAGGGCTCCTCCTCAATTCTCCACAGCTCCACTCCTTCCTCACACTCTCACCTCCAAGTTGCAGGACTTTGGCTGTAACTAGTCAGGGCCTCCTGATGAGGCTCCAGTGGGGCCCTGACACTGTGTATCACAGTCCTGCAAAGGCTGACAGGAATGCCTGGGAGCACACTTCTAATACCAGTCTCCACTACCCCAGCTAAGGTCTTCACTAGACCACCTAGATTATTAGCAGATAACCAAGCCTTTTACATTGTATCCTAATGTTACCTATGTGAGTGTTGCATCATTTGTAGCTATCCAGGAAAACTTGCTGCCTGTCAGCTACAGCACAGATATGCTTGCAACTTACCCTCAACCCCAGAGCCTAGACAGGCAACCAGGCTCTGCAGTACCCTGAGGGCTACAGTATAAAGCTAACATCTTGCTGTGAACACAACAGATCTGGAATGATTGCATGACTCTATTCTTATAATGTAAACATCAAAACACAGCCAAGACACTTCTGGGTGTCACTGCTCTGCTGGGGCATCAAACAGCCCCACTTGGATGGGACATGCTGTCATGTTTCCACAATGACTGGCAACAGTCACTCACTGACACCTAGGTCCCAAGCCAGCCTCCCATGGAACTGGCATCCAATCTGTTATGACTCCACAAGCATACATCTGAAGAGAACAGCAACATAAGAGAACAGGGCGCTGCATGGAGTGCTTTACTAGTGGTTAGACACAGTAGGGAGTCACTACTGTGTCACTGACTTGTCAGAGAGAGAAGCATTCTGGGTATTTTTCACTTTACACTGTTTGATTATAAATGTGCTATCATAAAACAAAGACAGGATTAAACATACCTGCTTAAGGTATCAAAACACTGTCCTTGAGGGTCAAGAGTGCTCTATGAAACGGAAATAACTCTCCTGGACTGTTTAACAACTTCCTGTCATGCCCAGTCCATATGGTACAGATAGTCCCTGACACAGAGTAACTGCTACTCATCTGCAGGAATGGAAGCCAACCCCCTGTCCCTCAGAGCACACTCTCTTCCACCTCAAGCCACTACGACTAAAGACATAAACAGGAGAAAGAGCCAAGAATCAGACAAGAGTGGCCAACCATCTGCCCTTAGAAGTGCGGGAAGTAGGGCCTAGAGGTGCAGTAAGATGTTCTGCTCACCTAGACACTGGGTCCAGTCCTGGCTTTACTCCTCTTTCCCCGCTCCCTCCCACAAGAAAACCCAGAATATTAAGTCCTTTCTCTTGTCAAACTCCAGTCTCCTCACCTGTAAAAATGGCTAGACCAAATCTGAAGATATTTCATAAACCATTAAAAAGATAAAAATCAAAGAAAGTACTATTATTCCCCAACACAAGTAAACTGCCCAGGACTCCAAACACAGGTTACCTGGAGCTTAGGCAGTCTTGGGGGAATCAGAGATATTAGCCATCCTAATTCAGCAGCTCTCAAAGGGAAATGAATCTGTGATTGCTTACTTACCTTTCTACTGCTGTGACGAGACACCCCAAACAAGGTGACTTATAAAAGAACATTTAATCTGGGGCTACTGGTTTCAGAGGGTGCGTCCATGACCTTCTGGGAAGCTCGGCAACAGGCAAGCAGGCCCGGCACTGAGCCTACACCTGAACCACACGACAAGGCAGAGATCTAACTGGGAATGACTGGGCTTCTGAGGCCTCAAAACTGCCAAGTTTTGTCACACCCCCTCCAACAAGGCCACACTTCCTAATCTGTCCCACCAAGTGGGGACCGAGCATTAAAATATATTAGCATATGGGAGTCATTCTCATTCAAATCACCAGTGATCTAATTTGAAAGTCAAACCTCTATCAGTTTCCATAGAAAAAGCAGCACTCCAATTCTAATCCCAGCACATATTCAGACACAGACTGTGTGAAGCACACGCAAGCTTCCCACACCATCCAGTATAGCCAAAGAGTAAGTAATTCCCACAACCAGAAACCCCATTGTAAGCTGAAGTACTCACAGAAATGGAAGCTGTAGGATCCAACTGGTATTTAGCTGCAATGCCAAAACGAGTGCAGTTGGTACCTGATGTCCAAGCAAGGTTTACTGAAGTGTCAAAATCTTCACATACTTTCTGATAAATTGATCCTCCAAATTCTGTCCCATTATTGCTATAAGATATTTTGAATTAGAATCTAGAATAGACAATGTAACCACTTCTAAGGCACAGGGTAGTACTGCAGCATTACATGTTAATATAAGCCACTACCAGAACTGAGCAGTAGAATAGTGGGAGAATGCTTGCCTAGTAATACTGCAGCATTACATGTTAATATAAGCCACTACCAGAACTGAGCAGTAGAATAGTGGGAGAATGCTTGCCTAGTATGCAAGAGCTAGCTGGTCTATAAAGTTCTACTGAAAACTTGAAAGTTCTGTCTGGCTTGCCTGACACTCAAATTCATGGCAATCCTTCTGCCTCAGCCTCGTGCTTTTAATGATTTATTTTTATTTTATGTACATTGGTGTTCTGCCTGCATATATGCATGTGTAAGGGTATCAGGTGCTCTTAACTGCTGAGCCATCTCTCCAGCCCAGCCTCATGTTGTCTAGGACAGGGCCGCTATGTTTTCCTGGCTCTCCTGAAACTCACTATGTAGACTAGACAGACCAGGCATCCTTCTGCTTCTGTCTCCTGAACGCCGGGATTAAGGTGTGTAATGCACGCACATGCACACACACACACACACACACACACTCACACACAAGAAACTGTGCATCAAAACATAAAGATTATATACCTAGGCAAGGCAGGGATGCTGTGAGATTACACTGTGTAAAGATGTGTCACTGTGATTGGTTTAACAAAAAGCTAAACAGCCAACAGCTAGACATGAGGTATAGGTGGGACTTCCAGACAGAGAGCTCTGAGGAAAAGGGAGTCACCAGCCAGAGGCAGAGGAGAGGCGTATGGCAGGAGACACATGGCAGCAAATAGATGAATAGAAACAGGTTAATTGAAGTTTATGTAAGAGCTAGGTAGAAACAAGCCCAAGGTAAGGTCAAGCTTTCATCATTAGTAAAAGTCTCTGTACATTATTTGAGAGCTGACTGGTGGGACAAACTTGTTACATGGGGCTAAAGGAGACTTAAAAATACTGGATCTAGAACCAGAGAGAGATGGCTTATTGGGTCTTAAGGCCCTTGCCACCAAGCCTGAGGACCTGAGTTCAATCCCTGAGACATTCAGTTTTCCACAGTTAAACTCCATATGTGCTGTAACATAACAAATAGATAAATATTAAAAAAAAACCAAGATTATGTGGTAGCTAGTAGGATTATGGGAAATGGTTCTTTTTTGTGTTTCTGTTATTTACCAGTATACTGTTTTGTCATGGAAAAAACAGTTAAGCCCTTTTCTGTGTAAACTAACTTGAGTTGAGTAAAAAAAATGCTATACACTTTTTTTTTTTTTTTTTTGGTTTTTTCGAGACAGGGTTTCTCTGTGTAGTTTTGGAGGCTGTCCTGGCACTCGCTCTGTAGACCAGGCTGGCCTCGAACTCAGAGATCCGCCTGCCTCTGCCTCCCGAGTGCTAGGATTAAAGGCGTGCGCCACCAACGTCCGGCTACACTTTTTTTTTTAACGAAAGGAGCTTACTATGTAGTTCTGGCCAGCCGAGAATTCACTATGAAGACTAAGATGGCCTCAATCTCAGAAAGATAGAGCCACCTCTGCCTCCCAATGCTAGGATTAAAGATAAGATGCACCACATGACTGGACATGCTAAGATACACATGCCTGGTAGTCATGTCACAGAAAGCTCTGGCCTAACCTCTTCTAAAGCATCTCAACCCCTCAGGATGTGAGCACGCACTCTCAGTGTCCACTATATGCTTCTGAGGAGCACCCCATGTCAGATACCCTTTAAATTAAACATAAACCAAAGAAATGACATCACACACCACCCTGAAAGCCTACAGAGAAATGCTTACACATTAGTATGTAGCTGGAAGTCCCCAGTCCTGTAGCCCACTGCAAAGTTACTTCTAGTCAGCTTTGACTTGGCACTGTCAAAGGTCATCTGGTACCCAGCAAGCCAGCCCTCGTAACCAAAGACAGCTGAGCCATGGATGGCAGGTCCAGCAAAATCAAAGTCAACATCACAGCCAAGGTTTATACACTCCCTCTTGTAAGCAGACTTGATTTTACCACTTTTCTTTCTGGAAAAAAATAAAAGACTGATTTGAAACTGATGCCAGTAACAAAGATTTATATACCCAACTCTACATGGTAGGCATGAGACAGATTTAAACAAACCACAGTATGACAATTTTAGGGCTAAAAACAACCAAAAAAGTTAAAATAAACCCACGTGGGGTGGGGTGATGGGACTGTCCCACCACAGGAAAAGTGCTTTGTAAAACTAACAGTCACAAAAGCTAGGAAGCAATTAGCAATGCCACAATGAAGAGGCCAATTTCTGAAGCAAGTCAATGGTGGCAAGCAGGGTTCAAAAGCAGATAGTGGCCGCTACAGTGACCTACGGACACCTGCGGTGACACCTACAGAAACCTGCTGTGACCTATGGAAGCCTGTAAAAACGTAAGTGCTTACCCTGTGTTTGGTGAAAAGGTAGTATCAAATGTCAGCTTCAAACCTTGGCATATCTATTTTAGGAGAAAAAGAGCTTATGAGATTTTGTTCTGCTTTATTTCCTCTTTGAAATACAAAAACGACACAAAAGTGGAGTCTATGAAACACTACCTGGTCTTCAATTGCAATCTCTGTCCCCAGAGTGTTATCGGTGTTCCACTTTTCTGTGAAAGTCAGACCATACTCACACCATTTATATTTGGTCTCCAAGGTCCCGCTAACTTTACCAGTGTCCGTATTAGATGAACCAGATGTTGAAAATTCCTAAGAAGACAATAAACGACTTCATGAATGTCTGCTAAGCCTGGAAGAATCCACTGCCTAACTTATTCGACACTCCTAACTTTACACTATGCTACTTCAAGCAAACTCAACAGTAACCAACTAGCCTGACTGACTGATCCCACTCGAATGCCGTCTCACACTTCTAATGATCAATAAAGACTAATATGGGGGGACGGCTCGCTGGGTATAGAGGCTTACTGACAAGCCACCTCTAAACCCACCCGGCAGGAAGAGACTTGCAAGCTGTCCCCTCACCGCACACGCACACCGTGACACATGTCCCTGCACATACACATAATCCACACACAAAATGTGAAAATTTTAAAGTAAAATTTGGGCCCACCAATCCCAATATTCTTCTTTTTTCCTCTTTAAAGAATTTTTAGTTTGCATATGTATGTGAATATTAAGTGCAGATGCCTTGAAAGCCAGAGTCATCTGACTTCGCTGACGCTGAAGTCACAGGTGATTGTGAGCCATCTTATGGGTGGTTAGGAAGAAGTAGGTAGGGCCCTCTGCCCTGAGAGGGGCACCCACTCTTACGCTCTGCTTTTCTGAAGTGAGTCTTCACTAGGTCTCATGCCTTCCACAACTCACCTATCTTCTTTCTGCTGTCTGTTCTTGTCTCAGTGTACGGCCCTGGCTGTCCTGGAATTCACGCTTTGTAGACCAGGCTGGCTTGATCTGCCTTCCTCTGCCTACCTAGTGCTGGGATTAAAGGTGCGCACCACCATACCTCTCCCAACTCAGTCTTTTCATGGGACAGGAGATGGCTCTAAGCAGTGAAGAGTGCCTGTTGCTCTTGCAGAGGACCCAGGTCTGATTCCTAGCACCCAGAAGGCACTTAACAGTCTGTAACTCCAATCCAGAGTCTCCACCACCCTCTTCTGGCCTCTATGGGTACTGCACACACATGATACAGAAACACATGCAGGCAAAAAACAACCATACACATAAAATAAAAATAAGTCTTTTACCCTGGCAGTAGTGGCACACGTCTTTAATTCCAGCACTCAGAGGCAGAGGCAGGTGGATCTCTGTGAGTTTAAGGCCAGCCTGGTCTACAGAGCGAATTCCAGGACAGGCTCCAAAGCTACAGAGAAACCCTGTCTCAAAACAACTGAAAAAAAAAAAAAGTGGTGGAGCTTCTTGGTTTTTAGTCATAAATAATACAAACTATGTGTGTCAGCAGCAAAAAAAAAAAAAAAAAAAAAAAAAAAAAGAAAGTTTAGCCTTGAACTAGAAAAATAGCCAGTGAGTAAACATTCTTGCTGCTCTTGCAGATGACCCCCATTTGGTTCCCAGCATCCACATGGTAAGTCACAACCATCTACAACTCCAGTTCCATGAAAACTGACACCAGGCACACAGAGACATACAGGCAAACACTTACACATGTGAAATACAAACACTTTTAATTAAAAATAAATATTTTTTACTGTAAACTATTCCTTTTATTTTATATATATATATTTTTTTATTTAAATTTAAATTAGAAACAAGGTTGCTTCACATGTCAATTCCAGGTCCCTCTCCTTTTCCCTCCCTTCCTCCCATGCCCTCCCACCAACCCCCTCAATATCCCCTCATTTCCCCAGGGAGGGTGAGCCCTTCATGGGGGTGTCCATAGTCTGTCATTTCATCCAGGGCAGGGCCTAGAACCTCCCCCAAGAGCTGAACTCAAGAAATCCAGTGACAGAAAGGGAGGACTGATGACCAAAGGGGCTAAGACTGGGCTGGTTTAACCCCCAGAAACAACTGACCTGACAAGGGTTAGCTCTTGAATCCCAGACTGATGGCTGGGAATCCAGCATGGGACTGATCAAGAACCCCCTGAACGTGGTTGTCAGTGAGGAGGCCTGGGTGATCTATTGAGCCTTGGGTGGTAGATCAGTATTTATCCCGGGTGTTGGGCACCCATCCAACAATGAGAGATGCAGTCTCACCCTGGACTCTTAAAAATAAACCTTAAAAAAAGGTTTTTTGGGGTTTTTGGTTTTTTGAGACAGGGTTTTAACCATGTGTTTGAACACATCTGCCAGTCCCTTGGGGCAGGCACACCAGGTGAGAGGGGAGTCCAGAGGGAGGCTGTGTCTTGGAATTCTGTAGATGACCGAGCATCTGTCTTTATGAAGCACACACTGCATGTGAATGAAATGTCCCAGGATAAAATGCAGCCTTCCAGCAGCCTGTCAGAGCTGACTTAGGGCTTCTGCATCAGGGTCTCTACACCTGTTCACTGGAAACCATGGCTAAAATAGATTGATCTAAATTTTGTTTTAAGTTTACCAGAAATCATGATTCCTGCAGAGTTGAGAAATATTAGAAACTGCCAAGTTCCGCCTACTACCACACACCCATCAGTCCCTAAGATCAAGGGCCAGTCTAAGGAATGCCAACGAATACTCAAGAAGCAAGGTCAGCATCAGCCCATAGGACAAACTGGATGAAAGAAACCGACAAGAAAGCCATTTACTCCAGCACCATGAGCTTCTACACTTGGGGTAGCCTGAGCATCTCTGCAGTTCAAGAAAGAAAAGGGCCGCTGGGCAGTGGTGGTGCATGCCTTTAATCCCAGCTCTAGGAAGGCAGAAAAAAGGAAGACTTTTGGCTTATAAGTCTATAAATCTAGTGCTTGTTCTCAGCTTACAGTTTGTCTTTATGACTCAGTTACACTCCCTGTCTAAAAGTAAGCTTTTTAAAAACAAGGATAGGGCTGGAGAGATGGCTCAGAGGTTAACAGCGCTGACTGCTCTTCCAGAGGTCCTGAGTTCAATTCCTAGCAACCACATGGTGGCTCACAACCATCTGTAATGAGATCTGGTTCCCTCTTCTGGCATGCAGACATACATGGAAGCAGAATGTTGTATTAATAAATAAATAAATCTTTAAAAAAATAAAAACAAGGATGGTGTACTTATTTTAGGGTAACATACATGTACAACATATTTAAAACCCTGTAGGCTGAAAATAAAGATTAGTAGTAGAAATGCAAGGCCCTGGTTTCAATCTCCAGCAACGGTGAAAAATATTAACAATCAGTTAACTAGTATTCTGTGACCCCCTAACCCAACCAAGTCAGTCACTCAACCATCACCAAATATTTAGACTTCGGGGGCTAGAGAGATGGCTTAGTTGTTAAAAACTAGCTGGTCTTCCAGAAGTCCTGAGTTCAATTCCCAGCAACCACATGATGGCTCACAACCTTCTGTAATGAGATCTGGTGCCCTCTTCTGGCCTGCAGAGGTATATGCAGACAGAACATTATACAGATAATAAATAAATAAACCTTTAAAAAAAATTTAGACTTCTTTGCAAACCAAGGAAACCACAGAACAGAACAATATAACACTCCATAAATGCAATAGATCTGAGCATTAAGAATCCCCACCAGGAACAACTTTAATAAATACCAGTTATATTCAGAACAGCATACATTTATCACAATGCCCAATAATCATAGTTTAGCATGTACACAGTACACCCATCCCTGAATCTTGAACCAAAAAATTTTAGAGAAAGAAAAAAAGCATACAATATAATATTTTACTTTATCCTTGTTTTAACAACTGGGGAGGATCAACACATAAGTAATATTCAGGTGAGGACAGAGGTATGTAGACATCTCCATGACTGTTAGGATATAGCCATTATATTAAATGATCAGTGTGATCAAATAAATAAGTTACTATTAAGCCCAAACTCTGACAGGTATTAGGAGAAAGGGTTACAAGAACCTGGGTTACAAGCTTCTGACCTTCAAGCTTGTAAATCTACCTAAGTATACAGTCCCAAATAACCAATGTCTACCCCACTTCTTTGTGCAATCATAGTAACACACACACACACACACACACACACACACACACACACAGATACACACACAGGAATATATAACAAAACTACATGAAAATCAGGAATCATATCCCAAATCAATAAATCAGATTACATGCAAATCACTCAAAACCTTTAGTCCCGGCACTCCTAGGCAAAGGTAGGCAAATCGCTTGAGTTTGAGGCCAGCCTAGTCTTTTTTTTTTTTTTTTTTTTTGGTTTTTCGAGACAAGGTTTCTCTGTGGCTTTGGAGGCTGTCCCGGAACTCACTCTGTAGACCAGGCTGGCCTCGAACTCACAGAGATCCGCCTGCCTCTGCCTCCCAAGTGCTGGGATTAAAGGCGTGTGCCACCAACGCCCGGCTGAGGCCAGCCTAGTCTTTAAAGAGTTCTAGGACAGCCTCCAAAGTCACAGAGAAACCTTGTCTTCAAAAATAAAAAACAAACAAACAAACAAAAAAAACAAATTAACTTCTGCCTCCTTAAGGCAAAACAGCTACAGACATTTATAGGCTAAGAAATCAGGGGCTGGAGGGAGACTCGGAGCACTGACTGCTCTTCCAGAGGACCTTGGTTCAATACATGGTGGCTCACAGCCATAATGAGGTTCAATGCCCTCTTCTGGCTTGTAGGCACACATGCAGACAGAACATGCTATACACTGAATAAGTAACTATTAGACAAAAATTGAAAGCTGCAGAACTCATTAGTCACTCACCACACCGCTGCATGACTTTGTTTTCACATCCAGCTTCACCAACCCAAAGCCTTCAAAAAACAGAGAGCAAAGACATGACTAGTCTGCAAATATATACATACCCGTTATTCTTATTCACGTCACATTTAAAACTATCCCAATGTCCAGGGGAACAAAAGTGTGCGGTGCCAAGGGCTTGCAGGGCACTTAAAAGCAGTCAGCTGCCTAGCACTTCCTGACACACCCTCTCCAAGTCACTTTTTAAATGTTTAATCCCAGCACCAGGGAAGCAGAGGCAGGTGGATCTCTGAATTTGAGGCCAGCCTGGTCTACAGAGCTGAGTTCCAGGACAGGCAGGGCTACACAGAGAAACCCTGTCTGGGGAAAAAAAAAAATCACTTCCTCAGAATAGCCTATTGTTTATGACTACACGTTAAAAACATTTATCCCAAAGGAGTAGGAGAAGGGGTATGTGCAACAACTTTCAAGAAAACTCAATCAAAAAGCCCACAAGCCCTGAAGGCTTCAGTCCCACCAGGAGCCACAAACACAAAATGAAAACAGTAATTCAGGGCAGCTCTACTCAACCAAGGCCTGTGCTGTCAATAAAGAGAAAGAGAGAGAGAAAAAAAAAAACAAGCTTCTTGAAGGGTGGTGCACACCTTTAATCCTGGCACTTGGGAGGTAGATCTCAGTGAGTTCGTGGCCAGCCTGGTTTATAGATGCGAGTTGAGAAAAAAAAAAAAAAAAAACCCAGGACCCAAAAGTACAAGCTTTTCCCTTAAAAGGTTAGAATTCATAAACTTGGACCTGAAGAAAAGCTAGGGTACGGTGGGGTGGGGCAGTCTGACATATAAAATGCATCTGGCAGAAGCATTAAACCAGCAGGGTACTCAGTCTGTAAAAGCATGTCAATTTCCTGAAGGGATGCAAACACACATCTTCCCTTCTAAGCTAAAATTAAAAGTCCTTACCAAATCCTTTGTTGAAAATATCTCTGGCAGCTTTGCCAAGGTCAGCATAGGATGGAGGGATACACATTGCTGGTAAAAAGAAACATTCTATAGTTATCATGACTGGACTATGACCTACTGCTAATGTTTACATTCAAGCAGACCAATGGGAATCACACCACTTTAAGTAGCCATCTGTAACAATAGTTTACTTCTGAATAGCTATGTGGCAATATAAACCTGCGACAGTTCCCCAGATCGTTTTTCATGGGGTAGGGGCAAGCCTATTAATTCCTAAACTTAATGTCTACTTCACAACTCTAGTACAAGTGTACACACCCTTGCCAGAATTCAAGTGGACCGACTGATTTAACTAAGACGAAAACCAAAACTTAGGATGAGGCATTTTCCCCCTAGCAAAGCGCCCGGTACACCTTCCAAGAACAAAACCAGCCCTCAGGCGGAAACTAACACTCCGGGAAGTGGCATCTTGAGACCGTAAGGGAGGGAAATACAGCCGTCTATGTTTCCGTCAAGTGTCTACAGCAACTAGACATCAGACGGCACTTTAAACACACTAAATACGACTCCCAAGTACTCCGCCGGCGCGGTGAGGCTGCAGGGCGAGGGACGAGAGCCGCGGCGGCCGCTCATTCATTCGAGGGGCACACCCACGCCCTGAGGACCACGTGTGGTGACCTCGCGGTGCACTCCGTCTCCGCGGGCAGGGGACAGCTACTTCCTCTTGCAGAAGAGGGGCTGATGCACTTCTCCGAGGCGGAATTCCACACCCAGTGGCTGATGTTTTGCTTCCGGACGAGTGAACGACGCGTCCGAAAGCAGAGGGGTGGGCCCGGCCGGGGGCCAACGCCCCGGGCGCGAGCACCGCGCACCCCACCCCCTCCCCTCCCCCGGCGCCGCGTCCGCCAGCAGGGGCGCGGCGGGACGCGTTAGCGGGGAGGCCTCCCGGGTCCCTGCAGGCGGGGGAAGGGGGTCGCGGCGGGGCCGGCCCGGTCCCCACGGCAGGCGCGCCTGCTCGTCTACTCACGCCGTGGGCATGTCCGTACACAGCAGTCCGCCATGGCGACGCCGCGGGGAAGGGGAGACCTGCGGAAGGGACGAGAAGCGCGGTCAGGGGCGGCCGGGGGCCCCCAGGGGGCCGGGGCCGGGGCCGCTGCGGCCATCTTAGGGGGGCAGAGCCGCCCCGAGTCCGCGGCGGCTGCCGGCCCGGCCGAGGCCCCCGGGGCCGGGCGTGAGGGGAGCGGCGCCGCGGTACCTGCGGGTGTCCCGAGGGGCGTCGTCGCCGTCACCGCCGCCGCCGCCGCCGCTCCGCTCGCAGCTGAGGCCGCTCCGCTAGCCGGGGATCGCGCTGCGGCCGCCGCGGCTGGAGGGCGAAGTGAAGGAGACACCGTTGCGCCCCGCCGCAAGCCCGGCCTCCCCCAGCCAGGACCCCGCCGCGGCCGTCCGGGCTGCCCGCCGCGCCTGTCCTCGCCGCGCCGCCCGCCGCCCACTCGCACCTGCTCCGCGGCGGCCACGCGGGTCGAGGGCACGGTGATTCCCCCCGGCGTGAGCTGTCTCGGACCGTCCGGCGGGGACGGGGCGAGAGGGAGCTGGCGGGCCACGGGTCAGGCAGTGTCCGGGGCAGCCCCAGAAGCGAGGGCCGGGGAACGGCGGAGGCGGCGCAACGGCACCCGCGCGGTCAGGGTGGGACGGGCCGGCCGCGCGCGTCACGACGGGCGGGGCGGGGCGAGCCCCCCCGCGGTCACGTGCGCCCCTCCGCCTCCGGGCCGGGCGGAGAACGTGCGAGCCGTCACCGCCTCCCCGGGACGTCCGAACCCGGGAGGCTGGAGTGAGGTTCGCTGCGCCATCTGCAGCCTCCGTGCCCCCCACCCCCACCCCGGCTTGCCCTCGCCGCTGCGGCGTCGCCCTCCGGAGGGGCTGGGCTCCGGAGGGACGAGCCCGAGCCGCTCTCAGTGGGCTCTGCTCCGAGAGCCTGTCGTGCAGAAGCCATGCTCCAGTAGGGGGACGACAGGCGACAGGCTTCCCCTGGTTGAGAGGCCCGGAGAGGACGCGGGAAGAACTGTAGGGTTCCCGTTGACCACCCGTTAGAATGCTGCAGCAAGAATGAGGAAGCAGCCGGCCCTGGCTCTTAGGAAGCAGGGAGGCTGAGCTACAGCATGAGGCAAACGGGGAAGGGGGGGAGAAGAAATGTGCAAGATAATAGAGATAGACGCGGGAGGACCTGAGCTCGGATCCCCAGTCCACACATTAAAAGCCAGTAGTAGCCCCAGAAAGAGCAGCAAGAGGGTCGCTGGGGTTCTTTGCCCACCTGGTCCACAAACAGCATGCTCTAAGTTCAGTAACAGATTCTGACTCAAGGGGGTAAGGTGAAGAGCAATAGAGGCGATCAGAAATGCTCTGGTCTCAGGCGTAAGAGTGGAATACCTCTATACACACACACCACCTATACAGAACATTACAAATGAACACAATTGAGGCTTCAACTCAATAAAACTCAGGTAGTTTAGCCCGTGAGCCTCAGTTTCCTCGTCTCCAAGGTGATGTTCAAAAATGTTTAATAGCCATACGGTTGGACTGAGAGCAAAGACTCCATGTACAACCCAATTATCGCTGAACGCTTCCTCTACTCGAGGCCTTCGCCAATCCAGAACCAAGTTTACTAGCAATCTTGCCTAGTCATGACTGAGGTTGTGTTGTAAAAAGTTAAATGGGGCTGGGCGGTGATGGTGCAGGCCTTTAATCCCAGGCGTGCAGAACTCTCTGAGTTCGAGACCAGTCTGATCTACAGGAGCTAGTTCCAGGACAGCCTCCAAAGCCACAAAGAGAAACCTTTTCAAACCTTGTCTGAAAAAACAAAAACAAAAAAGTTAAATGGGAAGAGTCGTCGTGTCCTTGTGTCTAGGTCATCAGGTTCCTGCACCTGACAGGCTCCTTCATTCAAGCTCAGGCAGGTTGGTCTGCAATGGACCTGGCCAATAGGAGACAGCCTACCCTAGCTGATACCTTTGCAAGGCCACCCCATCCATTTGTCTCAATACCACCTACCAAAACAGTCATTCTGCTAAATTAATTATCTCAAATTCCTAAAGCAGGACTTACCCATATTATGAATTAACATGTAGCCATTTTTTATTTCCAAATATATCATTTTCTCTGACACAAATCTGAGGCATTTACTCTGTAAATGTACAGTGTGTGGGCAGGGCTTAATGGTCATTGGAGACAGACAGGTGCCTGAGCAAAAAATTACAGGGGTGGAAAAGATGGTGATTCCTTCCCAATATTAAAGACACAAGCCTGGCGTTGGTGGCACACACCTTTAATCCTAGTACTCGGGAGGCAGAGGCAGGCGGATCTCTATGAGTTCAAGGCCAGCCTGGTCTACAAGAGCGAGTTCCAGGACAGCCTCCAATGCCACAGAGAAACCCTCTCTCGAAAAACCAAAAAATAAATAAATAAAGACACAGCTCACACTCCTATATAAAAGACAGGTTAGCGTTTAATCATGGCTTTATATTACTCACAATCCACCAAACCTAAGAGCTCAAACACCCAAGATATATTATTGATTTTTTTTTAGATTATTGATTTTTACGCTTAGGTTGAATGAAGCATGGATAGGCATACAGAAATATACATGAACAAAAAGTATAATCCAACAGAAAGTAGGTATCCCAAATGGCCTGTCCAGATGCCCACCCCCCAAAGAAAAAACTATAAGAAGGACCCTTTCTAAAAAGGAAGGGTTTGGCCAGGAGTTGGTGGCACATGCCTTTAATCTCAGCACTCAGGAGGTAGAGGCAGGCGCATCTCTGTGAATTCAAGGCCAGCCTGGTCTACAGAGTGAGTTCTAGGACAGGCCCCAAAACAACACAGAGAAACCCTGTCTCAGAAAAAAAAAAAAAAAAAAGGAAGGGTTTGGTTTTGTCAATATATTGCTGGGAATTGAACTAATGTCTATACCAGCACTCCGCCACTGAGCTATACCCCCACCCCTTTTAAACTCTACAAAGCCAGGTCTCTCACTGAGTTGCCCAGGCAACCCTTGAGTTTGCCATCTTCCTGCTTCAGCCTCCCAAGCAGCTGAAATTACAAGCCTGCACCACCAGGCCCCATGGAGGTCTTAAACTGGGAAAATGCTGACTAAAGTCCTTGCTGTGTAAACGCTGGTGTCAAGACAGGATCTCTAGAACCCCCATGAGAGAGGTAGTCCACCTGTAATCCCCATGAGAGATGGGCAGTCCACCTGTAACCCCCCCATGAGATGGGCTGTCCACCTGTAACCCCCATGAGATGGGCAGTCCACCTGTAACCCCCCCATGAGATGAGCAGTCCACCTGTAACCCCCATGAGATGGGCAGTCCACCTGTAACCCCCCCCATGAGATGAGCAGTCCACCTGTAACCTCCCCCATGAGATGGGCAGTCCACCTGTAACCCCCATGAGATGTGCAGTCCACCTGTAACCCCCCCCATGAGATGAGCAGTCCACCTGTAACCTCCCCCATGAGATGGGCAGTCCACCTGTAACCCCCATGAGATGGGCAGTCCACCTGTAACCCCCCCCATGAGATGTGCAGTCCACCTGTAACCCCCCATGAGAGATGTGCAGTCCACCTGTAACCTCCCCATGAGATGAGCAGTCCACCTGTAACCCCCATGAGATGGGCAGTCCACCTGTAACCCCCCCATGAGATGGGCAGTCCACCTGTAACCTCCCCATGAGATGGGCAGTCCACCTGTAACCCCCCATGAGATGAGCAGTCCACCTGTAACCCCCATGAGATGAGCAGTCCACCTGTAACCCCCATGAGATGTGCAGTCCACCTGTAACCCCCATGAGATGAGCAGTCCACCTGTAACCCCCCATGAGATGAGCAGTCCACCTGTAACCCCCCCATGAGATGTGCAGTCCACCTGTAACCCCCCCATGAGATGAGCAGTCCACCTGTAACCCAGCACTCAGGAAGCAGACGTGGGGTCCCTGGGGCAAGATGGCCAGCTGAACTAGTAAATTGGCAAGCTCTGGACTTAGCAAGAGACCCTGGTTCAGTAAATTAGAGAACCATCAATGAAGAAACATGCATGTGTACACATTTGCACATGCCCCCACATGCAAAATATCCGCCATGTCCAGCGCAGCTTTGGTCCGGGAACCCTGGCTAGGGTCGGTGAGGGAATAGAGAAAGGAGGAGTGTATGTGACACTGAGACCAGGTGGGTGTCTCTAACTGCTGCCACTGCAACCTGTAATCTCAGCCTGTTTACCAGCGCAGGGCAGGGGCTAGCCAGTCTTGGCAGGGGGTGTCTGTAGACGGTGGTCTCAAGCCACAGACACCTGGAGGAGGAAGGTACAGTTGCTAGTTTTACACTGGTCAGCCTTCCAAAGGCATTCATACCTCCCGAGGGACGTATTGCTATTCTTCCTCAGCTTGATCCATATGGTAACAGCTTTGCCAATTGTCCCATGGGGTTGAGGACTTAGGGAAAGGAAGGGAGAAAGGGAAAGAGAGGACACACAGAGAATCCGGAAGGCATGGGTCCACTGTGAGCCCGTGGTTGAGTGAGGCTGCTCTGCCACACCCCACACAGCAGTGGGACAGGCACGTTTTGTTGGCAGAGGTGCTGGAGTCACTTGGGTGTTATAGGACAGATAGTGGCGAGACAACTCTTGAGTCAGGTGCCAAAGTCCTCCGTGACTCAAAAGGAGTGATCGGGTCATAAAGGATAATAGGGCTTGGGGTATGATCCAGTGGAAAGGTATTGCCTGGTGTGTGTAAGATCTGGGGTTCAGCCCCCAGCACCACAACAAAAACAGAACACACTAGCTAGCTGATGGCACCTCAATCTTTTTTTTTTTTTTTTTTTTTTTTTTGGTTTTTTTCGAGACAGGGTTTCTCTGTGTAGCTTTGGAGGCTGTCCTGGAACTCACTTGGTAGTCCAGGCTGGCCTCGAACTCACAGAGATCCGCCTGCCTCTACCTCCCAAGTGCTGGGATTAAAGGCGTGCGCCACCAACGCCCGGCTGCACCTCAATCTTTTTGTAGTTGTTGTTTTGTTTTTGTTTTTCGAGACAGGTTCTCTCAGTGTAGCTTTGGAGCCTGTCTTGGAACTCGCTCTGTAGACCAAGGTGGCCTCAAACTCACTGAGATGCACCTGCCTCTGCCTCTGCCTCCCGAGTGCTGGGATTGAAGGTGTGTACCACCACTGCCCAGCCATGAGCCTCAATCCTGTATGTGAAGAAAGCAGCCGCCCTTCATCCACAGGCTGGGTGTGGGGAGAATGAGAGACTGGGTAGCCTTTCCGGGCAAAGAGGAGAAGGAAAGCATTCCGTGGAGCCACACAAGACACAAGCACCCTGAGGGTTTTAGAGATGGGGTAGCAGAGAAGTTCAAACCCG